TCCTGTTATATATCCAGTTCCTGGTAGCACCATTCCATTCTATTTCTGCAAATTCAACTTTATTATTCTTGTATATAATTGATATCTTGTGGAATTTGTTTTCGATTCCTAAAATCTTTCATATAACATTGGATCCTTCAGGATTTCTGTAGTCAAATAGTATTGTATTGTGTGTTCATACCATACTTTCTGTTTTGTTTGTTTTGTTTTGTTTTTGTTTTTTGTTTTGTTTTCGAGACAGGGTTTCTCTGTGTAGCTTTGGAGCCTGTCCTAGAACTCTCTCTGTAGATCGGGCTTGCCTCAAATTCACAGAGATCTGCCTGCCTCTCTCTCCCAAGTGCTGGGATTAAAGGTGTGGGCCACCACTGCCCAGCGCACCATACTTTCTTTAGCTGTTCACCCACCAATGGGTGCTTTGCTTGATTCTGCATCCTGGCTCTTATGAATAAGATATCAGTGAGCACAGGGAGCCACATGTGTCTTTGATATGCTGATTTTATTCCCTTTTGGGGTACACCCAGTAGTAACATCTGGTAGTTGAACTGCTTGGTCATGTGGTAGTTCTAGTTTGAATTCTTTTGAGGAATTTCGTATTGGTTTCCATAGCAACTCTACCACCTTACATTCCCACCAGCAAAGGACAATGGTTCCCTTCAGGGTACATATTCACCAATACTTGTCATCTCTTTTTCCAGTACGTATAGTAGCTGCCCTAATAGGTGTGAGGTGACAATTTCTTATGATATTGATTCCATTTAGATTCTACTTACAAAGGGTGTGCTTTCTTTCATATATCTTTTGGTCATTTGCACATCCTCTTTTGAGAAATATATTTTCATGTCCTTTACCCATTTGTAATTATTTTGAGTCAAGTTCTTTATATAGTGTGCATGTATAGTGAGAGATATGGATATATAACATGGTGTATTTAAGGTGGTGATTGTTTCTTTTGCTATACATAAGCCATTTAGATTGATGAAATCCCCTGAGGTCATCTTTGAAACTGTGAACTGTCCCAGGTACATGACAGACAGGAACCAAAAAGGGAAGCACAGGAGTGGGAATAATAGCTATCGTTAAGATTGATGCTACTGCAGAGATCAGTGCAGAAAATGTTGGTTTGAAGGGTCAAGCTAATGGCCGTCACTGGCTCTTTTGACTTTCCCATGCTTCTGTAAGATGCAACGTTTAACTTGCCACATGCCCACTGGAGAAGTGGTGGAAGGAAGATTACAACCTTTTGAACACTCTGAGCTACGGGTATCCTCTTCAGAGTCAATGAGAAGATAGTATCGTCCTCTTCTCTTGCATAACCTTCTTGGGTCTAGTTTGTATGCCTGCAAATAGTAGAGTTGTTCTACGGAGGTCAAGGTGAAAGGAGAAGCCGTGGAGAAACTGGAACCTCACGGATGAGCTACAAGACACCACTGTGTGATGAGAATGACTCCCACAAAATACTCTATGATTAATATGATATATTCAAAATTCTAGTCTAGATCAGCTCCATGCCACCATTCTAATATAAATCTAGCTATTCCTTCCTCCATGTCTCCAGCCATGGTTCTCAGGGCTTCTCCTGCTCTCCTGTCTCCGCTCCCCTTCTCATCCCCCCTTTCCCCTTCCATACATCCAGACAAGGCCCTCACTCATGCTTGCCTCCATCAAATCCCCATATTTCCAGCTCCATCGCTCTCTTTGTTCTAGTGTCTGAGAATTGCTTTGGGAGCCTTTCCTTTTGCTTGGGCACAGTCCATAGGAGCCTGGTGATTTGGCGCCCTCCAGGGGCACCTTTGTCAGCCCCATCCTACTCAGTGGTGAAGGGGAAATAAATACGCGGCAGCCTAGAAGGAATGGCAGGCTTTCTAAGGTGACCTGGGATTTTATTTATTTATTTTCCTTGATTTACTTTCCCCGTCCCTTTCTCCCTCCAGCTCCCTGTACCCCCTCTCTCACGTTGTTAGCCTCTTCTCCTGTGGCAATTACTGTCATATACGTGTGTGCATGCACAAATATGTTTAAAAGCAACCCACTGAGTCTGCTTTTGTTGTTTGTGTATACATGATTCCAGGGCTGACCATTCTCCATTGGACAATAAATGAGGGCGTTCATCCCTGGAGGAGGCTGATTCCCCCTTGCCCGGTGGTCATTAATGGCCTATAGTTCTTCTGTCTAGACGTGGACCCCATGAAATTTCCCCCTTTCCATGTTCACGCATTCAATGATACTGTCATTGTCCCAGTCTTGCTCATGAGCCATTTCTAGGAGAGACTGTTGCACAGCAGACTTCTTGGTATTCTGGCTCTTACAAACTTTCCGCCCCCTCTTCTGCAATGTTCTCTGAAGCCTAGATGTAGGAGCTGTGATGTAGATGGATCCACTGGAACTAAGTTCCCCGTGGTCTGATTGTCTTTTGCATTGTATGTAGTTGTGGTTTTCTGTAATGGTCTCCATTTGCTGTAAGGAGAGGCTTTGTTGATGAGGGGCGGTAGCTACACTGGTTGTGTTGTTTTCTTACCAGAAAAGGTCAGAGGAAGGAAAGGTGAAGCTCCTGGTAGTCCTTGGTTTAACTGACGGTATGAAACTTGAAATCCTGAGATATGACTAAAAACTAATTCTGTTCTCCCATAATCCTTTGAAATCAGAGAAGTACCATAGGTTTTTTGCACCTGTAAAATGAGGTTGATAATATATAATTTGAACACTTGGTATAGAATGAAATTGAATAATGATTTAGAGGTTAGTATCAACACGATCCACTCATATTCTTAGTCCCCAAATCTTGGGGGTAAGCCCTTGGTATTTTGGGAAGTGAGGAGAGTGAAAACCAAGACATTCCCACTCCTCCTAGGAAGTCATTCCCCATCTTGGAGCAGATCCAGAAAGATTGGAATCTCTCAGAATAGGGATGTGGATGCCTGGGTCTGGTGGTCTGTGTACAAAGCTGAGGCCCTCCATTATCTACTGGTCCCCACTTCATGATGCTGACCGCCCAGCTTCTCTAAAGAGAAGGTTGTTTTCCATGGGCCTTGGGCCTGTGTGGTCCAGACAGATAAGGATGAGAGGCTCTTGTTTGTGTTTCCCCTGTGGTTTTAGTCATCACAAAGTCATCGCCTTGGCAAAAACCCATGAACTTTATCACTGTTCCTTCCCTGAAAATCAGGTCATGTTGTTTCCAAAGACAGTTTTCTAAAGGAAGATGTTTGCAGAGGGAGAGCTCCCAAACTTGCCAGCATTCTCACAGCGATGCTATCAATCGCCCATGTCAGCACTCCTAGAGAACGGTTTGTCCGCCTCCTACTCTCGCTATTTGTGATGTGTCTTACGGAAGAGGATGGGAGGGCTCAGCTAGAACTGACCTGTGTAATGAAGAGCCCAAACAGAGATTCAGAACTGTTAAGCCTCCCCTGGCGGAGTTAAATCATTACTAGGACTTGGGCCATCTGCAGAAAGATGAGCCCTCTGCTCTTAGGCGTTGGTGCCTTCCATCATAAAAATTGCAGTCTATTAGAGCTAAAAGGAAACTTAGAGCTTTTGTCATCCCAACCCCTTCACAGGACACACCACATGTGAAAACTCAGAACCCGACGGGTGGTGCATTTCCCGTGGTCGCTAGAAAGGGAAAGCATTAGGGCTTGAACCCGTAACTCCTGACCCCCATGCACCACAAAATTGTTGTCTCCTTAGCTGCTTGTGCTGAGCCTTGTGGACTGAAGACGGAGGGATGGCCTCACCCATATTTACATGCCCACAGAGGGAGTGGAGGAGGAGTGAGTAGAGGCCCTTTTACAGTTCAGGACAGATGTTGCCGTCAGCCAGGAAACCTCTCTGAAGGTGGGTGTCCTGGGAGGAAGAGAAAGACATCTCTTGTGATAGGCTTTAAGGCACTTTATAGACCATTAAATC